GGGGTCCAGATATCTTGACCTACCCCAAAAGTAGGCATTGCTCTACCTATAGGAAAAGTTTGGTTAGATTGGTGCGTATATTTGTTTGGTTACAGAGAAAAATCTCCTTGTCTTTAAAGAGACTGAATAAGGACCCAAAAACTTAAGCTTCAATTTTCTGAAAACGGCATTTATCTATCCCGTAAAATGCTGTTTTGAAAAAAATCAAAGTTACAATTCTTGGACCCTTGTTCAGTTTCTTTATAAGACCAGGAGCCAGGAGAGTTTTCTATATAACCAAACAAATATACACACCAATGAAACCAAACTTCTCCTATAGGTAGGGCAATGCCCACTTTTGGTGTAGTTCAAGATTTCTGAAAACCCCGTAATCTGGGTTAGCCCGCTTGTCCTTTAAAGAGTCGACTTAATGAATGTATCCAAAGAGCTTAGTATACAAAAAACTTCATGAATGTTTCTTTTGCATTTGAGGTACAAATATGAACGTAATCTTGGTTAGCCCTCTTGGTTGGTCCATAAAAGCGACCATATTGCAAGACTCGACTTAATTAATGTTTCCACAGAGCTTAGTATACAGACTTCATGAATGTTTCCAGAGATCTTAGTATACAGACTTCATGAATGTTTCCAAAGAGCTTAGTATACAGACTGTAAGAATGTTTCCAGAGATCTTAGTGTTCAGACTTCAAGAATGTTTCAAGAGTGCTTGGTGTTCAGACTTCATTAATGTTTCCAAAGATCTTAGTTTACAGACTTCATGAATGTATCCAGAGAGCTTGGTATCATTACAGACTTCTTGAATGTTTCTTTTGTATTTGAGGTACAAATGTGAATGAAGTTTGAACTAAAATGTTAGAATAATGATATTATTTCTAGATCTAGTCTTTAGCTGTTTGCAGAGTCTAATGAATAGCGACGTTATATTATGACAGCCACACGAACCTGAACTCTGGTTCCTATGATATTTATTTTCATCGTTGCCATTACGTTTTTCCAACGTTGTGTGTTTTATTCCTTTGATAAAATAATAAATACTATGTTGACAATAACAATTTGCTATTTTTGTTAATTCAGACGTCTTAATAGTTTTGTTGTTTCAGTTTGTTAGATGAACAATAGTATAAATTTTGGGGGTTTTTTTATTTTTGTTCTTTTATGACAAAGTGAGTAGTTGGCGGGTACTCTGGTGTGGTTTGTTTCTTCTTTCCTATGAAACATCTATCGCCCTTATCTCCCCTTTTTCTTTTTTAATATTTGTTACTCTCTTGTAACACCTCTAATCTTCTGGCGCTCATATGACCTTATGCAGTTGCGAGCGCCGTAAAAACTCGACTAAAACTAAAAACTAATTTATGATAAAACCTTTGGTAGAGCAAGTACGGTACTGTGTTAGTTGACCCCTGTATTGTGCACAGTGTAACCCCTTCATTGTTCAAGAACACGGATATCAGAACGCAAGTCTTTTCGAATAACTGAGATGAGTAATGGTTTGGCAACACTAATGTTGTAAATATAACAACCGACGACGAACACTTATAATACTTAGAACAGTTTTTAGCTACTAACCTGAGAAAAAAAAGTTTGACCAAACAACAGTATCTTAAAAGTATTATTATTCATCAAGATCAGCTGTTTGGAAACGGAGTAGATCTAGATCGAGATCTCTTGGCTGCTGCTGTGTCTGTCCAGGATCTGACAGTAATTTCAGAGACGTCTGAACCTAACTGGATGTTTGGTATGTATACACAGCAAAATGTATGTTTTAATCGTATTTATGGGTTCTAATCTGAAGTGAAATGCTTTTAGTTGTTTTTTTATTATAATAATAATAATAATAATAATAATAATAATAATAATAATAATAATAATAATAATATAACATTTATATAGCACATTTCCACACAAAAAAGTAGCTCCTCGCGCTTTACTTCGGAATACCTTTTTTCAAAACCTTTCGTACCACTAATTCCTTTCTTCTCATGCCCTATTTATTTATGTGCATACACAAACACACACACACACACACACACACACACACACACACACACACACACACACACACACACACACACACACACATAGACTATTTTCATTCAGACAAAGGCACAGAACAACTATATAAAAAATAACGCTAAAACTAAAAGCTTATGAAGGATAGGCCTGTAGGAACAGAACACGATTAAGATGTCTTTTGAAGCTATCAAGTGTTCTTGTTTGTCTTTGTCTTTAGCTGGATCGGGCCAATCGCCCGACTCGATCGCCTGAAACTGAAAACAAACATGTTTGTTTTTGAAGCGATCGAGTCTGGCGATCGCCTCGATCGGCCGATCCCGTCCGTAGTGGGCACCCCGTATTTGGTTCATTAACTTCTTGGTGCTCCCGTTTGAGATTTTGGCTATGACGTCGTTGTTTATTATTGTTGTGGGGTTTGGGTTTTTTTGGTATAACAATATTACCCATCACACCGCCTTTCCACACAAATTGTAAGACAGCAGCAAAAATGTTGATCTACCTCCAAAAAGAAAGAATGAAAGATATAAAAGAAGTTTTTTTTTACCATCTAGCATAAGGCTTTTGTCAGAATGAGCATAGATGTGTATTGCTCTTAAATAGAGTATGTATATAACTCCAAAGGTCTGGTAATTGAATTCCAGCATGTGGTTGAATGATGCTTCTGATGCGATATGTACTTTTTACATTTTGTCAGCTTTACTTCTCTTTTCATATTGAATTTTAATGAGAGTAATATTATAATTTAAATTTGTTATGTATACCTGCGTGTGTTTTTACGGTCCAGTAAAGACAATAAGTATTTCTCTCTGGGACAATAAAGTATTATCTTTATCTTATAATTTCTTATCCTATCTTATTTTATTAGAACTTCATTTTGGTTGCTTACTTTACTTCCTGATTCATTTGAAATATTTTTAGGAAGGCATAGCAGAATTTTAACTTTGAATGAAATACTATATAATTTGTTCACGCAATCTCAGATAGTCTTCAGACCTCTCTAATGTACGAATTCCAAAAGGGAGGGGAGGGGGGTATATACATGTTCTTATGAACAGTAGAATTGTAAACGGAGGGATTTATCTTTTTTTTTCAATGTCAATATCAACGGAATTTTAATTATCGAAATCTCTATCCCTCTTTTAGATTGCTATCCTTGGCAAATAATATGTTCTCCCCACCCCCACCCCCACAGCAATGCAACTGACAAATGTGTCTTAAGGCCATTCCCAAATGGAGGATATTAACATATTCTTATGCACAGTAGAATTGTAAACGGGCTGATTTATCAATGTCATGCTCATACTGTGACGGAACAACATAGGGGGAGATGCTGCTTTTTCTTTCCTCATCCTTACTATCGTCATTTTTCCTCTACTTTTGTATGTTTGTCACTCTCTTGTGAACTGCTATTTCCGGCGTGCCTTGATAGTCGAAGAAGACTTTGTGCTGTTGGGGCCAGAGAGGTGAGCAGAGTAAGCCTGATTCACCTTTTGGACT